CTCTATGTTATTTATCAGCCTCCTGCCGAACAGCCCAACCCTCCCCGTGTTAGTGCCTGAGACATCTGAGCGAGTCAGGCCTGGAAGCAAGGTTGAGGCATGAGATACCATTCCAGATAAATGCTGTTCATGTCCTTTCTTTGCTAAATTGCTTATTTCAAAGTACAAAAGCAGGAATGGCTGGGAGAAGCAGAGACACTGCTCATGGTCCTGGGTTCAGCAGGGCAGGAGCGGGGCTGTCATAGGGAAAAAGGTGGCCCCGGGGTGGGTCTGGAGGTTGTCAGAGTGGTCCAGAAGGGTCGGAGAGTTCTGGAAGGGTCTGGAGGAGGTCAGAAAGGCTCTGGATGCTGCTGATCCCAACTGGAGCCCAATGGGCAGCACTTCAAGGCAGGGAGCAGCCATGGGATGGGATGGGATGGGATGGGATGGGATGGGATGGGATGGGATGGGATGGGACGGGGAGAGGAATGGAGATGGGAATTGGGAGTGATACCAAAATCAGCTATAATAAACTTTCCAACACAATGGGAAGCTTTATGAAGCAGGAATTCTTTACCTCCACAGGACACACAGAAGGATCTCTCCATATTTCTGTTTGTGGTGAGACTTTACAACAGGGGTTTTACCCATTATAACCACACAGAGTTAATAAAGTGTCTTACTTATCTAATACATAAACATCACTTTCCTAGGACTCATTTCCATGAATACACCTCCTTCTCCAAGTCCTCTCCTGGTCCTGGAGGATCACTCAGAGGGGTCTCTGGTGGTCGTATTCCCTGAGTGCTGAGATATTAAAGGTGACCCTGCCTTGAACTTTTCCTTTGGCCATGTGCTCTTGCTTCTTGTTACAGAACTTGCCCCAAAACCACTTCAGGCCTCCTAATCTGTTTCTGCCCTGGCTCCAGCCACGTTTATCATCCTGTGTTCTCCTGAGGAGCACATTGGAGCTGGGCTTTCCTCCTCCCTCCTGGGTCCTAGCACACTTTGGCCCGGAGGAGCAGGGACACTGCCAGGGTCCCAGGTGGAGCAGAGCAGGATTGGGGCTGTTGGGTGGAAAAGGGGGCCCCAGGGACAGTTTGGGGTGTTGGAGGTGGTTTCAGAGGATTCAGGATAGGGTCAGAGGGAGCTGGAGGTGGTCTTGATGCTGGCAATCCCAAATCTCCCCACTGGAGGAGAGCAAAGCCTGACAGGCCACACTCAGAGTGAGGAACGGCTCCATCTGGGAAAGCTGTGGGATGTGATAGGATGGGGTGAGGATGCAGAGTGGGGTGGGGGATCAGCTGTGGGGATGAGATGGGATAGGGTATGGAGCAGCTGAGCTCTGCTTCCTCGGGCCAGAGCATATTTTGGAAATTATCTCAGAGCCCTTCCCGGAACAAGAGTTGCTTCTGAGAAGCTCCCAGCTGCCTCTCCAGCACTGCCAGCACTGGCAGCATTCCAGTGCCACCAGCACCACCAGCATCCCTCTGCTGCCGGAAGGACCGTGACCCCAAAGGGAAGGGAAACAAGGAATGGTAGAAGCCTGTCTGGAGAGGGAAGGCATTTGTAGAGTGTAACACTCTGCAGGGAAGGAGGGTTTCTAATCAGGATAAAATGATGAGCCAAAGTGTTTCATTTGGAGCTTTTGACAAAAGTAATTTCCGCTGTAGCAAAAAAAAAAAAAAACAAAAAAAAAAAACCAATAAAAAAACAATCCACCCAGGATAAACACCTCTGCGGGAGTGGAGCTCTGACATAGTGAAAGATGCAATTTCTGACTACCCATGACTGCACCGAGTCATGGGGGGCAAGAACAGGATTGAGCATGGACAGCCAGTGGTGGGACAGGACTGGGGAGCTCCTGGTGATCTGGGCACTTTCTCCTTCATGTCACTGACCTGCCAGGAGCCGCTTTAGGACATGGATCCCAAAGGAGCAAGAGGTACCAGGAAGCACCGCTGATCTGCACAGACCCCTCTGCCTGCTGCTGCCCCACAGGGAACAGGTCAGTGGAATGGTTTCCTTCCTCCCTACCCCACCTTCCTCTCCTGCAGCAGCTGCTCTCTTCCTGCCACCCTCTCTCGGTGACCGCAGTGCCCTCCCCAGCTCCCCCTCCTCTGCCCTGAGCTTCCCTTCTGCGTCTCCTGGTGAACAGCCCAACACTTTCCCACCCCACCATTCCACCTGCCCTCCTACCCTGCACATCTCACTCCTCCCCTCTGAATCCTTCCCACTGCAGGGAGCTGCTGAGGAGCTACATGGTCCATCCCTGGATTCTCCAAGCACTGACTGCCCATCCACGCTGACCACAGCCAGGAGCCACATCCCACTGCCTGCCCAGTGTCCATCCATGGAGGTGACCACCGTGTCCACATCTCCTGCCTCACACACTCAAGGAGATAACACATGTGGGATTGATATCTCCGATGTGGCCATCATGCTGCTCATCTGCCTCTGGGCTGGCCGGGAACGGAGCTCTCCTCTGCCTCCTCAGCTTCTGCAGGAACCCCATCACAGTCTGTATCTTCCATTTGGCTGTCACCGACTGCTTCTCTGTGGTCACCTCCATCCTGCTCCACCTGCTGGAGAAAGTTTCCTGCTACACTATTATGCTCCAGGAGTACCTGAGGTTGTTTTTCCTGTTCTCGCTGTTCTCATACACCACGGGGCTCTACCTGCTGACAGCCATCACCATCGAGAGGTGCACATTCATCCTCTGCCCACTCTGGTACCCCTGCCACCGTCCCTGGCACCTATGAGGTTTTCTGATTGTCCTTCTCTGGGCCCTCCCCTTTGTTACAGTGGTTATCCTGTGCCTGACACTCAAGCCCCAGGTGTCTCTCACCTCCATGAATGCCCTCAACCTCCTGCTCTTTGCTCCAGCCATGGTCATTTCCAGCACAATTTTCTTCATTGAGGTCAAGTCTGCCTCCCAGCAGCAGTAACACAAGAGACTCGGCATCTTTATCCTCCTCACTGTGCTCTTCGTCCTCCCCTTCACTCTCCCACTCAGCCTCTGGACTTTACTGCAGAAGTTCAGCTACATCATTGTGTCATCCCCAGTGGTTTTCTTGCTCACCTGCATCCACAGCATCATCAACCCTTTCATCTGCTTCTCAGTGGGGAGCTGCAGGAGGCCCTGCTCCATGGGGTCCCTAAGGAAGGCCCTCCTGAGAGTCTTTGGGGACACAGAAGAACACACTGCCTGCGGCAATGACCCCACCATGGACATTGTGCTCTGTTGATTCCTGCCACTGGACTGCTGAATAACCCCAGGACAGCAGCTGAGGGATTCCTTGAGTGACCTGATCAATAAATATCCACAGTATCACCCTCCCTCTGCTGGTGCATCCTCACCCTCTTTCCAGTCCACACTGAGATCTCAGAAATGCTCCTGGCCAATGAATTCTGTTGTGCTGCTTTAACATTAAATGCGGCTTTTACTGATCCCCTTGGCGGTGACTTTTTCAGCGATCTCAAACACTCGTTTGGAACACTCTCGCGGTGTAATCCTGCAGGAGAAGGGAGCACCGGCATATGGGAAGGATGCTCTGAGGGGAGCACACGGGAGCAGGGCTTTCCTCCTCCCTCCCGGGTCCCAGAACACCATGGCCAGGACGGGCAGAGACAGTGCCGGGAGTCCCGGGTGGAGCAGGGAAGGAGCGGGGCTGTCGGGGTGGAAGGTGGCCCGGCGGGGGGTGATCTGGGGTGTTCGAGGAGATGAGGAAGGGTCAGGAATGGTCAGGAAGGGTCAGGAGAGGGTCGGGGGGCTCGGAGGCTGCCTGGGTGCTGGCGATCCCAAATGTGGCCACTGGAGGGCAGCAGAGCCCCACGGGCCGCGCTCGGAGCTGGGAGGCGCCGGCGGCCCGGGAAGCTGCGGGACGGGAGAGGATGGGGAGAGCATGGATTGGAGAGCGGGATGGGGAGCAGGGATGAGGATGGGGTTGGGAGAGAGCGAAAAAGCTCAGCTGAGCGTCCTTTGGCCCTTTGGGGAGGTTTTGGCAATGATCCCGGAGCTCTTCCCAGAATGCGAAATGCTTCTGACGAGGATCCAGCGGCTTCATCGTCACAGTGCCCTCCCCAGCTCCCCCCTCCTCTGCCCTGAGCTTCCCTTCTGTGTCTCCTGGTGAACAGTCCAACCCTCCCACCTCCCTCTCACACCCCACAATTTCCACTGCCCTCCTCCCCTGCACATCTCACTCCTCCCCTCTGAATCCTTCCCACTGCAGGGAGCTGCTGAGGAGTGGTGTGGTCTATTCCTGGATTCTCCAAGCACTGACTGCCCATCCACTCTGACCACAGCCAGGAGCCACATCCCACTGCCTGCCCAGTGTCCATCCATGGAGGTGACCACCGTGTCCCCACCTCCTCTCTCACCCACTGAAGGAGACGATCTGTGTGATATTGATGTCACTGACGTGGCTGTAGACAGTGTGACACTGCTCATCTGCCTGTGTGGGCTGGCCGGGAATGGGGCTGTCCTCTGCCTTCTCCAAAGGAACCCCACCACCTGTTACATCATCAACCTGGCCTTCGCCAACTTCTCCTTCCTCCACTTCGCCGTCCCCTCCACCCTGCTCTACCTGCTGGAGGATGTGTCCTGCTCCACAGTCGTGCCCCTGGTGTTCCTGAGGGCGCTTTTCCCACTCCTGCTCTTCTCCTACAACCTGGGGCTGTACCTGCTGACAGCCATCACCATCGAGAGGTGCACATCCATCCTCTGTCCACTCTGGTACCGCTGCCGCCGTCCCCAGCGCCTCTCATGGGTGGTGTGTGCCCTGCTCTGGGCCCTCTCCATCGCTGTCATTGTCACCATGACTGCCCTGTGCCACTCACAGGACCACGAGCACTGCCAGGTGTCTCTCATCACCATGTATGCCCTCAACCTCTTCCTCTTTGCCCCAGCCATGGCCATTTCCAGCTCAATTCTCTTCATTAAGGTCAAGTGTATCTCCCAGCAGCAGCAACCCAAGAGACTCAACATTGTTATTTTCCTCGTTGTGCTCTTCTTCCTCCTCTTTGCTCTCCCACTCAGCCTCTCCAATTTCCTGCAGCAGCTCGGTTACATCGCTGTGCCCTCCCAGGTGGTTTTCCTGCTCACCTGCATCCACAGCACCATCAACCCCTTCATCTACTTCTTGGTGGGGAGGTGCAGGAGGCCCTGCTCCGTGGGATCCCTCCGGCTCTCCCTCCAGAGGATCTTTGAGGAGCCAGAAGAAAATACTGCCCACAGTGATGATCCTGCCATGGACACAGCCTTTCCAGCCTGTTGATCCCTTCCCTGCTCTGCTGAAGGACCTTGGCAGAGTGGCTGAGGATTTCCTTGAGTCACTTGATTAATAAATATCCATGGGATCACCCTCCCCGTTGTGCTGTAATCCTGCAGGAGAAGGGAGCAGGGGCAGTGACAAGGGCCATGTGGGAGGGATGCTCTGTGGGGAGCACATTGGAGCAGGGCTTTGCTCCTCCCTCACGGGTCTTTTCCAATACGGCTGTGATCCCAAAATTCCCCCTGGCACCTGGTTCCTGCATTCCAATGGGATGTGACATCAATAAACAGCACCGTGAACCCTGAGCCGCCTTTGCCCCCTCTGCCAGCGCCTCCCGGCTTCCTCTGCCTCCTGCTGCCAGCCGGGAATGTGGCTGGAGGGAGGGGACACACACAGGGCTTGTGCTCCCTGGAGCAGCCATGGTCCCCGCAGGGGCAGTGACAAGGGCCATGTGGGAGGGATGCTCTGTGGGGAGCACATTGGAGCAGGGCTTTGCTCCTCCCTCACGGGTCTTTTCCAATACGGCTGTGATCCCAAAATTCCCCCTGGCACCTGGTTCCTGCATTCCAATGGGATGTGACATCAATAAACAGCACCGTGAACCCTGAGCCGCCTTTGCCCCCTCTGCCAGCGCCTCCCGGCTTCCTCTGCCTCCTGCTGCCAGCCGGGAATGTGGCTGGAGGGAGGGGACACACACAGGGCTTGTGCTCCCTGGAGGAACAGAGATCCTGAGTGCCCAGAGCTGGGTGGCAGCGGCACAGCCGGCAGGGACACGATGGCCCAGGGGCTCAGCATTGCCCACCCCAAGTGCTCTGTGAGTGTCACAGCAGAGATCTCCCCAGAGATATTTAATTTTTAATTTTGTGAGCCAGGTGCAAAGATCTCTCTGCCTTCAGAAATTCTTCCTCTCCATGGCCTTCAGCTGCTCCCTCAGCAGGCTCCGATGGTGCAGCAGCAAGGAGAGGAGGAGGTCGTGGTCCTCAGCATGGCCACCCCCTTCCAGGAGCAAGGTGACACCTGTGTTTGTCACCACAGGCACTGTGGGGCACCACCTGCCTCCCTGGGGCATTGCTGAGGTCACCAGCCCCACCATATCCCACAGCTTTTCTCCAGCCCCACCACATCCCACACCTTCTCTCCAGCCCCACCACATCCCACATCTTCCCACTATGTCCAACACCTGCCCACAAGCCCCACCACTTCCTTAATCCACCCCACGACCTCCCATCCCACTCCCCATGCAGCCCACCCACTCCCGTCCTTCCCGTCCCTCCCAGCCCCGTGCTGAGGCTCCAGTCCCTCCCCAGGGGCTGCTCACCCCAGGCTGCCCTGTAAGGTTTTCGGGAACTGTTTCCCTGGGACATCCCCCTCCAGAGCTTCACCCGCGGTGTCCCGCCCCCCAGCCTCCCTTGGAGAGGGACCAGAGGCGACAGCGGGATGGATCCATCAGCGTTTATTGGGGTACAGGAGCGTGGAATGGCCAGGAGTGGACACACTGCCGGGGATCCCGGGCGGAGCGGGCTGGAGCGGGGCTGGCTGTGGGGAAGGCGTCCCCACGGGGGATCTGGGATGTCAGAGGGGATCGGGAAGGGTCCGGATGCCGGCAATTCCAAATATTCCCACAGGAGGGCAGCAGAGCCCGACGGATCGCGCTCGGAGCGGACGCCGGCTGGGAAACCTGCGGGATGGCACGGCATGGCACGGCACGGCATGGCATGGCACGGCATGGGATAGGCACAGGCAACAGGGAAGGGGAGCCGAGATAAGGATGGTTTGGGGATAGGACTGGGGTGGGAATGCAGATAGGATGGAGATGCAATGATAGAGACAGGGACAGGGACAGGGACAGGGACAGGGACAGGGATAGGGATAGACACAACAACATGGATCAGTGGGATGGGAAAAGGGATGGAAAAGCTGTGGGATGCATCCTGACTCACAGCTGCAGGAAGATGAGCTGCAGGCCTGGCTGGGAGCAAGGGTGGACAGCTGAGCATGAAGCCAGCGTGGGCAGCACGGATGGTGGGACCACAGCGGCCTCTCAGCTGGACATTGTGGTGATCCCTGTCTCCTCAAAGACCCTCCGGAAGGCGACCTGGAGGGACACGACGGAGCAGCGCCTCCAGCAGCTCCCCACCAAGAAGTAGATGAAGGGGTTGATGCTGCTGTTGATGCAGGCCAGCAGGAAAACCACCTGGGAGGACACGAGGGTGGGGCTGAGCTGCTGGAGGAAATTCCAGAGGCTGAGGGGCACTCCAAAGATGAGGAAGAAGAGCACAGTGAGGAAGATAACGATGTAGAGCCTCTTAGGCTGACGTCTCTTGGAGCCGCACTGGACCTTGATGAAGAGGATCACATTGGAGATGACCATGGGTGGAGCAAAGATGAGGAAGCTGAGGGCGTACATGGTGATGAGAGCTACCCGGCAGTGCTCGTGCTCGTGTGACAGGCACAGGGAGGTCACCACGACCATGACAGCGATGGAGAGGGCCCAGAGCAGGGCACACACCACCCATGAGAGGCGCTGGGGACGGCGGCAGCGGTACCAGAGGGGGAAGAGAATTGAACCACACCTCTCGATGCTGATGGCTGTCAGCAGGTACAGCCCCATGTTGTAGGAGAACAGCGACAGCAGGAGAAGGGACCTCAGGTACTTCAGGGACACGACAGTGGAGCAGGACACATCCTCCAGCAGGTAGAGCAGGGAGGAGGGGACCATGAAGAGGAGGAAGGTGAAGTCGGCGACGGCCAGGTTGAGGATGTAGACGGTGATGGGGTTCCTGCGGATGTGGAATCCGAGGAGCCAGAGGACAGCCCCGTTCCCAGCCAGCCCACAGAGGCAGATGAGCAGAGTGACACCGTCTATGGCCACATCGGTGACATTGATCCCACAGGAATCATCTCCCTCCGTGTCCATCACGGGAGATGAGGGAGGTGGGGATGTCTGGTTCAGCTCCATGGTGGAAGGTGGGATGGGCCCCCAGCTGTGGCCAGAGCAGAGGGGGGTTAGTGGGGATGTGAAGGGAGGGGGGTCCCGGTCAGGTGGCACAGCAGGGCTGGGGACAGGGGGGCCGTGGGATGGCTGGGGGTGAGGTGAGGGCAGAGGTGGGGTTGGATCAATCCAGTCATCCCGACTGAGGACAACCATGGGAGCCGTGAGAGGGGCTTTGGGGACATGCAGGGAGAAACAAGCAGTGCCCAGGGCTGGACTCTGGTCCCAGTCCCCTACCTGTCCTTGGGGCCAACCTGTTGGTGTGCCCAAGCAGGGCACGCTCGCTCCCTGCGTCCGGTGCTCCTCGCCACGGTCTTCTCTTCAGTGAGGAAAACTGGGATCTCCACAGAAGAAGCTCCAAGCAGCCTATTTGTCCCCAAATAAAGCTGCTTTTTGGGGCGTTTCTGCACAATCACGGGTCAGGCACTGAGAGCACTGGGCAGTTGCACACAGGCTGCCTCTTCTCCTGTCAAAATTCTGTTGGTCTTGCGGGAAAGGAAATGTTTTGTCCGAGCAAATACCCCAGAGGACGAACACTGCAGCAGTTACATCTCGCTGTGAAAGAATCTTGATGCTTTTAGGATTCAACCTGATCTCTCATTAGACTGGTAATTGCCACCTTCCTAATTGTTTGATAGTGCTCCAGCCTCCTCTCCCCATCGTGCCCCGATGCTGGCATCCTTCTGAGATTGTTCATTACCGCGTGCATTTTCCTCCCAGCCTCCCAACACGAGAATCCCTCTCCTCCGACTTCATCCTGCACCAGGCCTGGGTGAGAATTTGGAATTTGTTGTCTGAGCCATCCCTTTGGATTCACTCCAATTGGTCTGGGGGCTCCAGAGCCCTCCTGGACAGGCTGGTACTCACTGGCAGAGCCTGGAGAGACTGGTGGCAGAAGGGGTGGCAGGGGACAGCCACACATCCCTCCCTGCAACCCTACACAAGAAGCACCCATTCACCCCCACCAAAGTTTTGGGGTGGCAGAAGAGGGGAGGGGAGAGGGTCTTGGGGGCATCCAAACAGGGGCACGGGGGACATCACTGCTGGGATGGCATGTCCCCAAGCAAAGCGGGGTGTCACAGCTTGTCCCACCCGGGTTGGAATCACTAGGAAAAGACAGGAGCTGGGTGGCTGCCCCTCACGGCGCAGCACGGGTGTGACAGCCAGGGCGGCAGTGACATCGGGGCCAGGGCAGTGAGTCACCCCCCGTGCCTCGCTCCACCCCTGGACTTTGCCTCCCGCGGATGCTCAGGGCAATAACAATAAACCCCAGGCTCAGAGGCGGGAATGGGGCGTCGGGGAGGGCACAGGGGTCCCATCCCTGGTGGCTGCGCTGTGCAGGGAGATCTGCGGCAGTGGGGTTGGGATGGGGAGTGGGATCAGGAGTGGGATCAGGGGATGAGAGTGTGCCTGAGGCAGCGGGCAGGAGCGCGAGGGAGCGTCACACAGGCAGGCAGGACACGCAGGTGGCAGTGTGACGCTTGTGCGCCGCGAGGACCTGCCGGGAGAAGGTCACCTGTGTGCCAGGACACCTCTACGTGTGTCCCGGCCACTGTGACGGCCGCGGCCCCAGCCCCGCGGCGGGCGGGCCCGGCGGGCGGGTGACAGCCGCACCCTGGACCGGGCGGGTGCTTCCCGCCTCCCTGTCCCCATCCCTGTCCCCGCCGAGGCCACTCGGGCTCCGTGGCCTCACCGGACACCCCCATGCAGCGGGAGCGCGGGGGGCAGAGCCCAGGAGCCCCCGAAACCGAGGTCAAGGCTGTCATCGTGGGGGATGGCGGCTGCGGGAAGACGTCACTGCTGGTGGCCTTTGCCAAAGGGGACTTCCCCAAGGTACCGGGATGCCTGTCCCCTGGTGGGTGGGTGACTGTCCCCGTGCCGGGCAAAGGGCGGTGGGACAGGCACGGTGGCAGCAGCGGGGCCGTTTGAAGCGGGGCATGGGGACGGGGGGCAGGGGTGGCCCAGCCTGGGGATGATGGGGGTCTGTGACACCTCTGCCTCTCTTGGGGAGTCACTGGGGAGCAGGGTTTGTCCCTCGGTGAGGGCACATAAGGGACTCAGGGAGTGCAGGGAAGGGGGGCAGCCACAGAGACCCCAGAACCCCTGTCCTGAATCCCTGGGGCATCCATGTGCCCTGGGATGGGGGACAAGGGTGCTTCCCGTCCCATTGCCCCGGGGAGGAAGCACCATTTCCCACTGCCTGCTTCCCTCCCTGTGCTCTGTTCCATCCCCACTGGGGTCCTCTCTGTCGCTGCCCCCCACAGCTGCCTGTGTGACCTGTGTCCCTGTCCCCTGCCAGGTCTATGTCCCCACCGTGTTCGAGAAGTACACAGCGTCCCTCCAGGTTGCCGGCAAGCCCGTGAAGATCCACCTGTGGGACACAGCAGGTGGGACAGCAGGGGACAGGCCGGGCACTTGTGCCCCCCACTCTCCCACCCAGGAGTTTTGGGGTGTGCCACGTGCGTGGTCGTGCCATGGAGGGTGTCCCCTCCTAGGGGTCCCCATGGCCGTGGCAGAGGAGGGGCAGCCATCCCCACAGATGTCACTTTCACGTGACAGGCTGGTGTGCAATGGTTTCCTTCTCCACCCGGCAGGACAGGAAGACTATGACAGGCTTCGCCCTCTGTCCTACTCGGATGCCAACGTTGTCCTCATGTGCTTTGATGTCACCGACTCCAACAGCTTTGACAACATCCTAACGAAGGTAACCAACCCCGGGGGTGCTGCCTGTCCCCCGTCCCCATCCCTGGGTGGCACGCGCCATCCCGGGGTGACGTGTCCCCTCGCAGTGGTACCCGGAGGTGAACCACTTCTGCAAGGGGGTCCCGGTGCTGCTGGTGGGCTGCAAGACGGACCTGCGGCAGGACCAGGAGGCGCTGCAGAAGCTGAAGGACGGACGGATAGAGCCCGTCTCCCGCCAGCAGGTGGGTGTCACCTCCCGGTGGCACGGCACGGGACAGGACAGGGGTGGTCCCCGGCGCGGGATGGTGCGACAGAGGGATCCTGGGGAGGTCTGACGGTGTGTGTCCCCGCAGGGAGAGGCCATGGCCCGGCAGGTCCGCGCCGTGTCCTACATGGAATGCTCGGCCAGGTATCAGGATAACGTCGGGAACATCTTTGTGACAGCCTGCAGTGCCGCCATCAGTGCCGCCCGCCGGAGGCAGCGCAAGGCGGGACACAGGAGGGTCTGCGTGATCCTCTGAGCCCCCCGGCTCGGCACAGCCCCCCCGGGATCTCCTGCTGTCCCCGAGCTGCGACCGCACCGCGGCTGCTGCCACACCTCTGCCTCCGCCACCGGAACGCCGCTGCCACCGTCCCGACCCGGGGCTGGCACCGCCGGTCACCGCGGGGGGATAGCAGGAAAGCATTCCTGGCATGAACTGTCACGCCTGGATCCCAGCGTCCTGTCCCTTTCCCGCTGGGGATGCCAGCGTCCTGTCCCTGTGCCAGGGATCCCAGTGCCACCATGGGTGCCAGCACCCCCTGCCAGCCGGGCTCTGGGGACAAAGAACTGACCTGGGGGCTCCCCTTCCCGCTGGCAGGCCAGCGCCGGAGGGTGGCACGGGGTGACCGCAGGGCGACCTGCTGCCATTAAAGTGACACAAAACTCATCGGCGTGGACGGTCCCTGGGGCAGCAGCAGCCCCTGCACGGCCTGGGGGCGTCGGGGACATGGTGTGGGTGTCGGGGACATGGGGTGCGTGTCGGGGACATGGGGTGCGTGTCGGGGACATGGGGTGGGTGTCGAGGGCATGGTGTGGGTGTCGGGGGCATGGTGTGGGTGTCAGGATCCTGCCATGGGCCCAGGGTGGATGAGAGACCACCGGGATGGGGTCACCGTCTGATTTTGGGTTGAGGTGTGTGTGAGCATGTGTCCAGGTGTGTCCAGGTGCGTGCTGCACAAACAGGTCTATAACCATATGTATAGTTACATACACACACGTTTTTATATTTATATATTGTATATAATGTATATCTAACTATATAGTTAATTTATAACCATCCCTATCACTATATTTACTTTATGTATCACTGCATACAGTTAGGCTATAATGTATAGTTTATAAAAACACTGTTTATAGTGTATAACTAAGGAGCTGTACCTAGTTACCTGGGTGGATGTAAGTACCTGCCGGTGTCTCTGCATCCAGACCTCCATGCAGGCGTGCACAGCCGTGCGGGCAGCCCCGAAGCCCGCGGGGACACCGAGGGACCTCACGGCGGGGCGTTTTGGGCCACGAACCCCCCCAAAATCCCCCCGGGGCTGCCCCTCTCCAGCCCCCCCGCCAGGGGCGTGGCCACGCGGTGGAGGGGGCGTGGTCGCGTGAGGGGCGTGGTCTGTATTGGAGTGGGCGGGGGCCACGAACCCCCCCAAAATCCCCCCGGGGCTGCCCCTCTCCAGCCCCCCCCGCCAGGGGCGTGGCCACCCGGTGGAGGGGGCGTGATCGCGTGAGGGGCGTGGTCTGTATGGGAGTGGGCGGGACCGTGCCCTAGACGCGCGCGCGCGGGGCGGGGCCGGGCTGGGGCGTGCCCGGCGCACGCGCGACGCGCGGGATCGGGTGGGGGGGGGCGCCCGTGCGCGCGGCGCGTGCGCGTGGCGTCGGTGTGTATGTGAGGCTCTGACGGGTTCAAAATGGCGGCGGCGGCTCCTGTGTGAGGAGGGGGAACCGCGTCCCGGCCGGGGGGCGGCGGCGCCGGGGGGGCACCGCGCGGGCGGGACGGGGCGGGCGGCGCCGGCGGA